CATAACACTGAATCAAAAAACTAATTATTAAATCTGCTTTAAGTATTTATTACCAAAATGTAAGAGGCTTAAATACTAAATGAACGAACTTATACCTCAAAGGCCTTGAATGTAATTATAATATTCTTTCTTTTACTGAAACTTGGCTGAAACGTCACATTTTCAATTCAGAGATTCTTCCAAATAATTATCATATCTATAGACAAGATAGGGAGGACAGAATCAGAGGTGGCGTACTCTTCGCGTAGACTCTTCAATACCATCTGAAGAAGTTAGTCTTCCACATTGATTCAGTAGAATTCAAATGCATTCGTGTACAGGCTGGAAAAGGGTCCATTTACTTAGCTCTGTGCTATATCCCTCCCCGATCTGACACATTGGTGTATTCACGACTCATCTCTTTACTGAAATCAGTTAATTTACTGACTAAACCCTCTGATTCAATGATTGTGTTGGGTGATTTTAATTTACCAAGCATATCATGGAACATCATTGACAATGATATCGTACCTTTCACGTCTAGTGCGTGCAACAACGTATTTTTAGAGGAGATGGCTGAACTCTGCCTAACTCAGGTTAATGTACTTCACAATAAGTTTGGTAAAGTATTAGATCTTGTTTATGTTGATTATGCATCTAAGTCCGTTGTAAATAAGTGTGATCCACTAGTTTTGCCCGAAGATGTATACCATCCTGCTATGGAGGTATCTTACGAAGTTATAATTAATGGTCAAAATTGTAGTACCCAAGCATACGAACAAAATATTCGCTTTGATTTTTCGAAAGCTAACTTTAAAAAGCTTAACAAAGAACTGTCTAAATTGTCGTGGCCTGCATATAAAGAAAATATTGAACAAAGCGTTGCACTTTTTAACTTTACTTTACATAAATTATTTGAAAAGCATGTGCCTAAACGCATGTATGTTTCTGAAGAACAAACACAGTTATGGTTCACTAAAGAACTGAGAAATTTGAAAAACAGAAAGTTGCGTTATTTTAGATTACACAAAAAAAAACCGGTTTACACTCATACTATGTAAAATACTCACTTTTGCGTCATAAGTTTTTTGAATTAAACAAAAAGTGTTATAAAGCTTACTTCTGTAAAATCAAACGGCGTATAATATATAACCCCAAATCGTTTTATGACTTCGTAAACTCCAAGCGAAATGTACGTGGGTTTCCTTCCGCCATGAAGTATCAAAATACCGTCTCTGGTGATAATCAAACAATTTCTAACATGTTCGCTCAGTTTTTTAAATCCAATTATTCCATTAACTCACATGCTAACATTAGGGGTATTCTCGAAGTCTTGCACGATGCACGGATTGCACGAAATGCAAAAATACTATTCCAAATTTCGAAGAGTACGAGAACACCCCATTGCAAAGTGGTAGCATGCATGGGGAGCAAGCAGCGAAATTATGTATCAAATACAATAACAAGAGACAGCAAAAAAAAATTAAGTGAGCGAGATGAGAGGAATGAGAGAAATATGTAGCAATTCCAACAACAAAACAACTAGCACAGGGTCGCTATTATCTTGCTATGCTATTTTGCAAAATATATACATGGGTTTCGACGTTGCATATTTTGCAGCGATAGGAAATGTTGTTTCCCATGAATTTTCTTGTTGTGTGTTTGCAATTTATGCAATCCGTGCAATCCGTGGTACGTGCAATGGCTTTGCAAGATTTGGAGAATACCCCTATTGACTATCCTTTTAAACTATGTGCAATGAACTCAATAAATATCCCGGTAATATCTCCCGATGATGTATTAGTTTATCTGAAATCCTTAAAGCAGTCCTTCAGTTATGGTCCTGACCAGATCCCTACTTGTATTCTTATAAATTGTGCTGATTATCTCTATGAGCCGTTAACAGCGTTATTTTATTTGTCTCTTAAAGAGTTAGCGTATATGTTCTCAACCCCGTTACATAAAAGCGGTAGCAGATCTTCAGTGGAGAACTACCGGGGACCAGCTAAGCTTTCTGCAATTCCTAAATTATTTGAAGCAATTATAACAAATCGGTTGACGCATTCTATCTCTTCTAGCGTTTCATATAGTCAACATGGATTTTGCAAGGCAAATCAACTTCTACAAATTTACTTGAATTAACATCCTATATCTCAAAAGCATTTAGTGAAAGCAAAACTGTTGATGTTATATATACTGACTTCAGTAAAGCATTTGACAAAGTGTGCCACTCGTTGCTCATCTATAAACTTAATCTTCTTGGTCTTCCACCTAATTTTCTACGTTGAATCTCTTCATACCTCTATGATAGATCACAAAGGGTAATGTTTAAAAATACTATCTCTGACGTCACTGATGTTACTTCAAAAGTCCCTCAAGATAGCCACCTAGGCCCAGTTCTGTTCTTGCTTTTTATAAACGATATTTCTACAGGTATACAATTTTCCAAAATTTTAATGTATGCAGATGATGTAAAGCTTTATAAATCGTACGTTTCAATTAACGAAAGGTCTTTGCTACGATCAGACTTAAACAGCATTGCTTACTGGTGTAAAGCAAATCGTATGCCTCAAAATCTTAAGAAATGTAAAATAATGTGCTTCTCGCGAAGAGCTGTTCATCCATCCCTCTTCTTATACAATAGGTAACCATAACGTGGAACAGGTATACAATTTTGTGAACCTTGGTATCACAATGGATCCTAAGCTTAATTTTAATCTTCACATTAACGTGACAGTAAACAAGGCTAAAGGCGTACTTGCATTTGTGAAACGATGGTCAAAAGAATTTTGTGACCCTTATATCACTAAAACCCTGTTTACAACATTAGTTAGACCAATTCTGGAATACGGTTCGATGGTTTGGAATGCAAGGTATCAAATTTACTTAGACAAGATAGAATCAATTCAAAAATAATTCCTACTTTTTGCTTTAAGAAATTTGCGTTGGGATTCTCAATATAACCTTCCGCCTTATACGAGCCGATTAAAACTTATTAATCTTCTTACACTTTCCAGTCGCAGGCAAATGCTTGGTACAATTTTTACAGTTAAATTACTAACAGGCTCAATTTCAAGTCCGCATCTTCTGGGTGAAGTTAGCCTTAATGTTCCCTCCCGGGTATCAAGACACTTTTGTCCCCTATTTCTGAAAGCATGTAAAACTAATTTTGAATAAGAGAGCGATACTATTTATCTTCTCTCAATAAATGAATCATTAACATAAAGACATAAAATCGGCTGATGAATTTAGTTCTAGCTGAACAGTTTTAGATCTCAACACTTAACAAACTCCTGCCTATCGTGGCTCGGCGCAAAAATTGAAAATACTGGTTCCGTACGTCATGCGGACTGCGCCCCTCGTGCGGATGGGCGGAAATGGAGGGTAAAAAACGTTGGGATTATTCAGGGCTATCACAGAATCCATCGTAGCTTCGATTTTCGTGAAATCTACGAAAGTGCTATCATAGAATCCGAATGGCTACGAACGTAAATTCGAAATTCGTAGAGAGCCTTCATTGAATCCGTTCGTAATGAAGATTCGTACAGATACTCTACGACGAGATTATGCTGTCGGAACAAAATTTAGAATCACTCAATCTTAAAAATTGTGGAAGAAGGCTGCATTATTTTTAATATTAAATATTTATTGTACTCCAAATTTGTAATAGTTTGATATAATTCCATATATTTGTGTAAACGTAGACGTAAAATACCATTGCTATACATACATACATATGTACATACACGCATTCATCTGCTAGACGCTATTTAATGAATTAATATCTTGCATTAATCGAGGAAATAATAGTTTAGCAACAATTTATTAGGGAATAAACCTAATTACTTTAATATCATAAAAATGTATTTAAAAAAAAATTATATTTAAAATAAACAAATAAAATATAAAATAAACAAAAACTAGATAAAAAAAGAAAAAAGTCTCCACTGCCCCACGAATCGGACTCGAACTCAGCCCTCTCAATTGGCAGTCTAGTACTTTGCACACTCGGCCATTGCGCCTGATTGGCCAGCGTGAGCAAAATGACATACATAAATGTCTGTTGTTTCCTTTGCACTAACTGATTTCGAATCAGCATTCGAAGCTGGCAACGATATTTTCGAGTTCACTCGGATTCAGTGATAGCAATTTTTTCGTATTCGTAGCGGGCATTTGAATTCGTAGATTTTCTACGATGGATTCCGTGATAGCCCTGATTATTAATGCTGAGTAAAGTAATAAATTTATGTTCATATGTACATACATTTTCAGCATAGGTTTTATGACAGTTATGCGATAAAATTCGGAATGGGGTTTCTTCTTACGGAATGCAGACATACGAGTTAATTTAAGTTTTGTTTAAAAAATCAATTGCTTCAGATTAATTGCATCTAAACGATCTCCTCGCTCGATTAATTAAAATAGTGAAATATTTGAGAAGCTCTAGCAAAAAAACAAAAGGGTATAGAACCTTCCACTTGGGCTTAAATTAAAGCTAGAACTCTCGACAACTATTCCTGGAAATACCATTCGTGCACCTTGACTTGATGGTCACTTGTAGTCATTTGTTGAATAGCAAAAACTGATTTTGGCGAAGTTTGAGTACCTACCGCAATTAAACAATAGGAGGTAGAATCTTCCACTTAGGCTTAAATTAAGGCTTGAACTTTCAACTACAATCCCTGGACCTTGACCCTAAAGTCACTTATAGTCATTTATTGAACTGCAAAATCGGATTTTGGCACAATTTTCCTTCTTCCAATAGCACAATACTCCAGTATTTTGTTATTGTTCAATAAATGACTATAAGTGACCACCAAGTCAAGGTGAATGAATTTTATTTTCAGGGATAGTAGCGGAGAGTTCTAGCTTTAATTTAAGCCCAAGTAGAAGGTACTATCACCTTTTGTTTTTTTTTTTTTTTGCTTGAGCTTCTCAAATATTGCAAAAAACGCGATTTTATGATACTTTGACCACGTTTTTCTCAAAATCTAAAGCTGATGGAAACTTTATACTTACAGATTCGCAATCAGCACAAACAAGTCTATCAACAACAACTTTACATTTTAGGAAACGAAATCAGTGTTGCCCTGTGTAATCTGAGATTTGCCTGTGTAAACGGGGTGATTAAAAACGAGCTTTGATTGAGATTATATTTATATGTGAAAATATTTTTTGACTACTTCTTACACCAGCAGGGATAGAATTCCACAAACGTATATCGTTGACGAAAAACAGTCTCTCTGCTGCTAACTTACTAAAGTGAGGGACAATTAGATGTGTTACCCGTGTAGACCTAGTAAATATTAACTTATTAAAAAGGTACCCTGGAGATTCCATAACAACCAGTCTATATAGAAAGTAGGGATGTTGCGGATGCGAATGCGGATGCGGATGTTTAAAAGCTAACATCCGCGGATGCGAATGCGGATGTCAAATATTTTTAAGAAATAATTTTGGTGAGTACATTAGGGGATTTAGGTAAATAAAAAATGGAAAAGTTATTAATTTTCAATAATATTTTTTTATTTAGTACTTCAATTAAAAAATTGGAACAATGTATTTAAGCAAGACCGATAGAATACAAGATTGCGCTGATTGATGTGAAATTCGGGAGAGTAACGTGAATATGACGTTATCGGATATTTGCCGGCGGAGAGAGCTGAGAGAGATCTATCAGTATGTATATGTTTTGCATGTGTATATGCGTATGTATGTTACACAGGCAATACACAAAATCTCCTGTGAAGTCATAATTCTCTCAAAATTTTCAAGAGAGAGTTAGCGGTATCACAATCAGCGCCACCTTCCGTATTCGTTTCACCATGGTATTTAAGAAAGAGTAATTTTGCTAACTTATCGGATTACAGTTTATTTCCTAACGGGTGGTNAAAGAGTAATTTTGCTAACTTATCGGATTACAGTTTATTTCCTAACGGGTAAAAACCAAACCTGCGCCACTAAATAACTACTCGCTCGAGGCGACAAACTTGAAAAACTTGAAACTTGACAAAATTGTAAATTCTTTTCGATTGACGATGCACCAGTTGAGAGGACTTCAGTAATATTTCCTTTTTTATTGCGGTGCAACAATTTCTTTTTGTCAATTGCATCGGGGTTGCAAATGTCGGATGTATCCTCCTGACTTTAATCTTCACAATCTAGCATCATGACAAGATCGTTGTTTAAACACCTTTATGTTCCAATTTGGAGCACCAATTCTTTTGGTTGTTTCCGAATTAGGAAAACCTGTTACGTCATCAGCGTTTTTCGATTTTAGTTTTTGTAATTCATTTTTAATCCTGTCTTCTGTGACTGGTTTGAAAAATGTGCGCCTATAGCGAGGTTGTGAATAGGTGAATATGGCAAATAAATTGTTATTTTCTAGGAATGAAAATTTCGAAGAGAATTCTGTTTTGAAAGTCGTGGCTGCCAGCAGCCTTGTTCTTTTGTTAAAAAGGTGCCGCGTTTTTATAATAATTTTTATTATGGAATCACGGACGATAAAGGTCTCAGATTTGCCTAGTTCCCGGGTGACTTCTTGGAAAGGTTCTCCTGTAATGAATACCTTGTAATTAATTTTTTCTTATTAGTTAGCTGAACTCGGCTTTTCCTAGTTGCAGGCAGTCACAATTAATTACTCACCGCTGTCGGTACCATAAGCCCTATTTATCCGTTTTCCGTTTGTTCCATTCCATGCGCTCAATATGTTTTGATATATTTTTTGAGGCGAACGAAAATTTTCAACATAAGTATCGTTAATACTATTTCACATTGTCGCTGAAATGCAGAAAACACAACTAACTAAATTTTTGTATAGCCTAAAACGATGTGGGGGTCTTATGATTCGAGGAAATGCATCATAATCAAAAAAAGTTTATTTTGGATTTTTAGTTAGTTACGGCTTTTTGTATTAATAGATATATTACATGCCAAGTCCCACTCCTCAATAGATATAAAATTCACCTTGAATTAATTCTTATTTAATTTGTGAACTTGGCTGTTGACTTATTTACATATAATTCCATCTTTACTTCGATGCGTGCTAATTTTTACAATTTACGCAAAATTAAAATAAAATTTTTTGTTTTCGAGCTGAAAGGCTAATAAAAGGAAACACAGAACTTAAGAATAATAAGTTTTGTGAGAAAAAAATAATTGCACTTTTCTAAGAAAAAGTTGAAAAAAACTAGCGATGCGTCCAATTTTTTCAACAGACCTTTGACAAATACTTAATATTCGATAGTTACCTAATTCTTACCTAATTAAAGGTAATCTTTTAACGCTCAACTCGACTCTCTTTATAGCCAGCCGTTGAACATTTCCGCTGGAAATACCTACTATTATCTTACTCTTTGACTTTAAATTGCGAAAGAAGGTCGACGTAGCGGACAGTCTTAACGTAGCAAAAAATGGCAAAATTTTTTTGTTTGCCAGATATACGTTTTATCAGTGCACTTGCACAATATTCGCATTGGCAAAAGCTCCGCATTGATTATTGCGAATGCGAATGTTAAAATTTATGCGGAAGTTCCGCGGTTGCGAATTCGAATGTGAATATTCGCAACAACCCTGATAGAAACTCACAGTTTCCGGCTTTCATATATTCTGATATTTCACAACCCAAGAGGCTACACTTCCACGGCGATATATGCTCGAACCTTGTGAGACCATACACATAACGGGTTACATTATTAAACAAAATATCAACCTTGCGCATCGAGTTGCTGCCAAGCTTGCTGTAAGCTACCTCAGCGTATGTGATTTGCGGCATAATTATTAGTAGAGCAAGCTGACGCCTTGTGCTCAGTGGAGTATAAAATCCAAACACTTTTAAATTTCTTAAAGCATAAACCCTCTCAACCAGAGCGTATTCATTATATATATTACAATTTAGAATTTTTCTTAGGCCAAAAAATAAGGTTCACGATGTTACTAAATCTACTGAAGGAGATATGTAGAAGAAATTGTTCTATAACTCATCGAAAACCACTAATTTTTTAACGAATTTTTTTACAAATGTAAAAATAATTTGAAAATATACTTACATATATGAACGCGGAAAATCGTCCCAGGGAGTCGTATCTCCTGTGTGAGACGAGTAACGAGCTTCGTCGAAAGGGTATAGGTCTCTAGAATACTTTTATACTTTCCTTCACTCTTGTTTTCAAATTAAAAAAATGTTTGTGAGAAAGTTTTTCCTGAAAACAACTAGAGATGCATGTAAATTGTTCGTCATTGTTGTATCGCAGGCGTTCTGTATGTCTGCCTATCAAGATATGTCCTGCCAGTAGCCCAAGTTGCTTCTCTGCTTTGATTCTCTGCTTGGTATATTTATGCTATACCCTTTATCAAGAGTGAGCACTATCATCATCGACAGGATGGTTAGAACCGTGCATTGCTTCAGTAGGTGTTGTGCAAGCCGTCCTCTACACTTTTTGTAACTTATGATATTTATCTGATTTCTTCTTTAGTGGCCACCATTCCAATACAACATAGAGGAATATGGATCTAACTAGAGATGGGCACGGGACAAAAATTTCAGTTCCGATTCCTCCCATCCCGAAATAAAATTTTTAAGTCTCGAAACCGCCCATCCCGACGTTTTACAGAATTGTAGGGTGGGTCCCGTGGATCTTGAAAGCTATTACTGAGATTAATTAACATCCTCTGAAATTAATTTTAAATAATAAAAAAACTGGCATCTTCCAATGTTTTTTTTTTTGCTTCGCTGTTCGTGTTCGTGTCAATAAAACATAAAAAGTGTTTATTTCATAAAACGTTTTTAAAGATTTTCTGCCCGCAAAATTTTTGAAGACCTTCCCGATACCGCCCATCCCAGGCATTTTGAAATCAGTACCGTGGGTCCCGCAGGTTTCGATATCCCGCGCCCATCTCTAGATCTGACCATGGCAGTGTATAGCCATATTACTACTCTCGGGATATCCCCCTTTTTGGGCGATAGCTCCTCTACAAGTTACAGTGCAGTCTGTGAAGCTGGAATGTTTTTAATTTTGTACTTTTTCTGAAGCCATTGTTTGATCATAGTAAAAAAAATACAGGAGAATTGACGACAATGACACGTAAAATTAAAATTTATAATATAGGACCTTTATATAAACGTATTTAATATACAAACATACGTTTTTAATTTATTTATATTTCCAGGTTGTTGTTGTGGGGAGTGGTGCTGACGAGCTTTTCGGAGGGTATACGAGGCACAGAAATGCATTTTGTCGTTTTGAGGGGAATGAAGATGAAAAGCTTATGAACCTTCATAGAGAATTGGAGAAAGACTGGAATCGAATATGGGCTCGTAACTTAGGTCGAGACGATAGAGTTGTAGCCGACAACGGTAAAACATTAAGAGCACCTTTTATTGAAGAGAAATTAGCCCAATATGTTCGTTCTTTGTCACCTTCCCAACTTTGTTGTTTTCTTTTGAAAGAAGGCATTGGAGATAAGCTATTTTTGCGACTATTTGGGTTTCAATTAGGCTTAAAAGATGTATCTAAGTTAAAAAAGCGAGCAATTCAGTTTGGTTCCAAAATAGCTAATAAAAAACTAAACGCGACTGATCGATCCGTATACTTGTAGCAAAATAAAACCTAGATTGTGACATCTTAGGTCGATGCTTTACCTCAATAAAAATGTTTAAATTCTACATGAAATTGAAAAAAAAAATTGGTCTGAACAAAGACAAACATATTCTGGGCTATCGCTGAAACAATCGTAGTCCGATTTTAATACAATGTCGAAAATGCGATCACTGAATCCGAACTGCTACGAACTAGAGGGCTGCATGAATTCATTCAAAACGGCTTATGAATTATTCATATACAAAACGAATGAATGATTTTGGCTTAACGTTTTTTTGAATTTGAGTGAATACATGTTGTGATATATGTGTCGACATTACAATATTCACACAAAGTGAAATTAAATTGAATTGAAGTACATTAAAATTTTTTTTTATGAATATCCAAAAATATTTTTTCTATGTACATATGTATGCCCAACCAGCACAATCATTGTAAACGAGCTCGTAACTGGATATTTTTTCGAAGAAAAACTGGCTAAAAAGTCGTTTATGATAGCCGTTTACGATTCGTTTTCGAGTACTTTTTCGCTTGAAATTGTCGAGCGCCTACGAACAATCGTAAACGTATCGAAAAAGCATTCGTATGCGAATATAATATATTATAAAATATTGTGGTTCAAGAAAAATTTCCAACAGAATGAATATTTTTTCTTGTGTCGACAAATTACTAAAAGCCTCTTTCTTTTACTTTTTTATTGTTTTATCGTTTTCGAGCCTTTCTCTAACTTTTCGCCGATCGAGAATCCCTCGTAAAACATGATGTTCGTAAAATGTACGTTTTC